AAACACCTTCTAATTATTTAGCAACTTTTTGAACCGAAAGGAGAAGAAGTCGTAGACCTAGGCTCGCATGAGGTAGATGATTCTGTAACTGAATAATCTATGTGTTTTAGATTGAAATATGTGCTTGTCGATGACCCGTCCCTTGTTACGAAAAGTTATTGGGATTGGATAATTGGCATGTATTGTATGCTGGAACTTGTACGTCTATGTTCAATCCCTTGTTATGAAAAGTTATTGGGAGCGAACCTCTAGATGTATAAGCGAGAGTGTCAATCTTGAACTGAACAATTTATAGCCCGACTTTGCTAAAACTTGAATTAATTATCCCCGATCCTCTAGCTTCTCCGTCTTCATTTCGTTTATATTTTCAGGTAGATTTATGCTCTTTATTATTTCATAGTTGATAATAGTTCCTTCCATATTTGATTAGAATGTTTAGGATTTATTTTGTTTTTATGTGCTATCAATATCAAAGCTGAATTCCGAACCGCCTTCCTCGTGAGATCGACCCAAGGAACGAATCTTTCGATTCGGTACTCGGTAAAAAGAATAATTTGTACACAACAAAAGCCAAAGAATTTGTAAGCATCAATCGGATGACTGCTGGCCGAGCTCTCACATTTGGAAGAGTTAATTCGCGTAAATTGCACAAGCCATTTAAGCCAAGCGAGGAATTATCGAGCTCGCAACAAACGAGTTTCATGATTTTTATGCTTGATACGCTTATTAAATCACAACTGAGCATAAAGTTTCTTCTGGATTGAGTAAAATCGAGTTCAAGTTTTTTATTCTTAGACGAACAGCCTTTCGTATCCACTCAACAATGAGGCTGTTATCGTTGGTCGAATCCAAGTACAAACAGAATCGATCGGCACTGGAATTTACACGGTGTTGAAAAAAATTTATTGATGATGCTTTTGAACTCGTTTTTCGACAAATTCCTATCGAAATTTCGGTCGAATGCGACATCGCGACAGAATTTCCACAAATATCTATAACGCGTAGATAAAATGGCGAGGTCGAAAAGCTTTTTGATTGGAGATATGACAAAACAGTCTCTATAACATCATCAGCCATTGCTAGAGGATGGTTTGAATTAACTCATAAGACCACAAATTATGTTTTTTACTAACTTGAGATGTCTATAGTGAGTTTATATAGATTTTTTTTTTCAATCATTTTTCTTATTTAAGTTTTTGCCTAAAATGGCAATGGTAAACCAGGAATATTATTTCCTGGATTTTTATCTCTTTGATTCATGCTATATCCTCGAGTAAATTTGGATTTCTTTTTATATTTTGTCTGAAATAGGTTAATACATCTTTCCAAGAAACAAATTAGGGCAATAAGGTTTAAGAATTTTTTTTTCAATATTTTTAATTAGGTTAATTTTCTTTATCAGCTAAAACATGATACTATAGGGTTGCCAAGATATTATGGAAACAGCCTTGGGTTTTTAAAATTTTGAAACTGCAAAATAGAGTTTAAGTAAATAAAATTTTAATATAAAAATATTTAAATATTCTTGAAACCTTCTGTTGGATATAGATTATTTTTTATTTTGTCTCTCTTCGAGTTTTCTCCATCAATAAATCTCACAATTCGACATTTTTTTTTTCAAAACGAAGAAATATTACATTAACTAAAGAGAAATAACAAAGTTCAGAATATCACAATACAGAGCTAACAAAGCCTAGCCAAGCTACACAGAATTAAAAACTGAAACAACAACCCAAACACAAAGCAATTGGAAGACCATGCAGGACGGCCTAGAAAGTAGAAAGGGACAATATGGATTACCTATTGGGCAGTATAGAATACTGAGGCCCTGAGATTGACCATATGTCAAAAAAATACAACCAAGCCACTGCAATAATGCCTAGCTAGGGAAAAACAAGAGAAACAAAGGCAAAAACAGAGAACTAAAATCCTAACCACTAACAAAATGCAGAGAACTCTTTCCATTCAGAGTCCACCACCAAACTCTCAGGTTGCATTTGGTTTTTGAAGACCCAGAGATTCCTCGATTTCCACAACCACCAAAGTATATAGGTGGTTAATTAGATTCTCTCCTCAGCCTCTTTCTCTTTGTGCATCAAGCATATCTCCATCCACCAGCTTTTAAAGCTACAGACTTCTTGTTGCAGTGATGTCCAAGTTACTGGGGCTAGTCTCCAAGATAGCTTAACTCTGGGACAGTTGAATAGGATGTGCTCAGCAGTTTCCACACATTCACCACAGACTTTGCAAATGCAATCCACCTTGACTCCTCTCTTACACAGGTTTGAAAGTGAAGGTAGAATACCTGAAAAGCACTTCCAGATGAAGTGCTTTATTTTTCTCTTAATTTTGAGCTTCCAGCAAATGCTTCTAGCCTTGAGAATCCCTGAGCTTTGGTTACTGGATTCAGGAATATCCAGCTTCAGAATCTTGCTATGGATCAAGTTCTCATATGTAGAAGCTTCTGTAAATCTGCCCTTTTTGTTGAAGCTCCAGGTGAGAGTGTCTTTTTGAGATTTGTCTATGGTGTTGATACTTTGAATGGCTTCACAGTCTGCATGTGAAAAAAATTAATTGAGGAGATCAACATTCCAAGCATCCCTATCAGGCATTAGAAGCTCCCAGACCCATGTTGGGGAATTGCTTGAAATAAGATTCCTACAAGGTTTGTGATTGTGGAGAGATGGAACCCATGGGTGATCCCAAATTTTTGTGTCTCTACCATCACTATCAATCATTAACAGCCTCTGCTAAAAAACAACACTTAAACTCAACGAGCTCCTCCACAGCCAAGAACTGCTTTACGGAGGTTTGGAATTAAAGAGAGAGCAGTTAGGAAAGTATTTATCTTTGAGGATTTGACTAACAAGTAAATTAGGTTTGGAGTGGATTCTCCAGAGCTGCTTGAGAATCAGTGATTCATTAAAAAGCTTGATATCAGAAAAACCCAAACCCCCATTTTCAGTAGGGATGGTTAACAACTGCCATTTTTACCAATGGAGGCCCTTAGACTTATCACTTTTGGACCACCAAAAATCAGCAAAAAGCTTTGCAATCTCAGAACAGATGCTGGTTGGGACAATGAAGCAAGACATTACAAAGGTAGGTAGGGCAGATAACAAGATTTGATCAAAATCTCTTTCCCAGCAGATGAGAGGAATTTGTTTTTCAATTTTTGATTCTATCTCTAACCTTGCTAAGAACAAAAGAGAAAGCTTGCTTCTTCGAAAGACCAATACCTAGGGAGAGCCCTAGGTATTTAGTGGAGAAATGGATTTGAATGCCCTGGAATTATCTGCATATATCATTTTGGACAGAAGGGGGAGTGTTTTTGCTGAAAAAGATTGAGGATTGAGACAAATTGATATTCTAACCTAAGCTGAGGTAGTAGGATCCGCCTACTTCCACCTGCCTGACTCCTAGTCACATGCTTGTGGTAAGCCTTTCAATTCCATCTCTTGGCTAGTTCATTCATTCGTCCCAGATCAAGTTGGCCCTTTCGAACAGCTTGCTGTATTTCCTGCTCTTTAAGCAGCTCAATGTAACCTTCCCTTGAAAGGGCTATGCGCACCAGCCCGCCCTTAGCATTAGTGCGTCTATGCGTGCTTTTAACATTATTATCTATCTTAGGGCCTTGATTCTTGCGGCAATGCCCTTTTAAGTGCTTTAGTGGAACTCTGACTTTAATTTCAGCCCCTCCTCCTCAAATAACTCCTTCGAGCCGTTAGCCACGCGCACAATGTCAGTTACGGAGGACTCCGATGCCGCCAACTCCGAGCAAAAGAATCGAGAGCATTGCAATATTCTGAGAATTTCAGTAGCTTGCTCAGGAGAAGCTTTACAGAAAAGCAAAGTGTCATCAGCAAAAAAGAGGTGAGAGAATTCAAGACCATTTTTGGATAGCTTGAGACCATTAAGGAACCTTGTTGCGAAGTATGGTCTAACACAAATGAGAGAAGCTCAGAGACAATGATGAAAAGATAGGGTGACAGAGGGTCACCCTGTCTAATACCTCGAGAAGGAGAGACAAAGCCACATTTCTGACCATTCAAATTAAAGGAGAAACTAGAGGAAGTAACACAACTCATAATCCAATTAATAAACAAAGAGTGAAAACCCATTCTATGGCCGATTTTATACTGGTCGAATGGTAAACCGGTTTGCAAACCATTGCAAATCATTCGCTTTAAAAACCCATTCTATGCAAAATAACTTCAAGCCGATTTGCTTGATATTGACCAGTATAAAATTTCTAAATAATTTTGTGGATTATTATCAATATCGCGTTAATTTAAATTAAAAAATGAAAGGTTTAACTCTTACCACAACTTCATAGACTCCTTTTTGCTCAATTCTTTTGATTTCAGCAGTAACTGAAAAGAAAAAAATGAAAAGAGCAAGAATAAACAGCCACATACATAACATTAAAGACTTAAAAAAAAAAAAAGGCTGAAAGTACAACCAAAACCAGAGCAATGACTTTACATGGTCCAAATTTGTTTACATCAAATTGTCAATGACTTTATGCTGCAAACAAAATTCGAAAAGTTCCCGAATAATGCATCAATCACCAGCATTTCCGAAAACTACATCTTCCCCTGTGGCTGAGTAAAAGCTCCAAACAGACAAATAAT